GCATTCTTCATTCTACCTTTTTGATGCCAGTGGGTATGGATGTTCAGCTCCCCATTGAAGACTTCTGGGGGATAAGTGGAGAACACATCAACCCTAGTGGAAATCAGCCCCTACTTGCACCACCTAGTTAAATCTCATTGCAGCTGGTTGGCTCTATTGATACCAACTCCTTCTGCCAGGCAGAGAATGGAAGATTAGTTCCCTGCTCAGGGATACTGCCAATCAACAGGCAGGGTACTGGAGCATGCTGCCTACTTTCAAGGGAGGTGGGAGGAAGGGAGTAGAAAGTCAACTCCTTGCTCACTCCTGCTGAAAATCTGTGTAGGTAGAGGGAGTCCCTTGGTGTTTAACTGGAGCAGGATGAGTACTGACAAAGTTTTTCTTAGACCAACCTTTCCCCTACCCTTTGGCTAGAAGGAACAGGCTTTTCTTGGAGCTTTTCTTTCCCTGTGCCCATTCGCTATTCACGGTTGCAGGCTTCTGCAGCACCCTGCTCAGGGACATACTAGAAAGAATAAGGAAACCCAAGGAACTCACCTTCTTCTTGTTTCTCAAGTCAGCAGGTTCCTAGACTGTCCACCACCTTCTTTCCACCTTTCAGTCTTCTTATGTTTATTTATTGCATTATCTCCAAGGATTTTAAGCTATAAGAGGATAGAGCTGGGAGGAATGAGATTGCTTCCTCTTGGCAGAACAGGAAGTCACTGGCCCACTCTCATTTATTCCTTTCATCTTACTTTGATATTTTACATTATTCCCACTTTCCCTTTGATAATTCCTATTGGTTTGATCAGGTTGCTATTCATTCCATTTTTCTCTTACTAATTTGGAAGTTCCATTATTTTTATTGTTCCTTAATGCTTTCTCTTGCCTGTAGTAGGCATCAGTCACATATTTTACTACTATTCCTCACAAACTCCCCCTACACAAAGACACTTTATTCTTCAATCTTCCACACTAGGACTTTTAGAATAGTGTCACTGCCCCCACTTTCCATTAAGTATTTGAGTACCTACTATGTGGCAAAAGAAAGTTCCTGCCCTCATGAAGCCTATATTCTAGTGCGAAACCCCAAAAATGATGTACACCATTATGTAACTACCCCAATAAATTACAGAGGGAACAATTAGGAGGCCAGTGTGGGAGAAGTTTAGTGAACAAGACAGAGCCAGCACCATACACGTAGAGCCTTGCAGGCCATAGTGAGATTTTTAAATTATATTCTAACTGCATTGGATTTACATGGCAAGTGAGCAGCAGAAAGGCAAGTTCAGATCTATTCTGGCAGCTGGGCATGTAAGTAAAGAGTAAAGTAAGGGTAACCATTTACAAGGCTTGTTAGTGAAAATGGTACCCTGGGATGTCAATAGTAAGGCTGATTGCAAGCTGTCAGTTTCAGGATTTAACTTGAAGGTAGAGGCAACAGACTCTCAACACATTAATGGACTGAATGTGAAGGGTGAGAAACAGAAGATCGAGGATAAGGCCAAGGCTTTGGCCTGAGTTATTGGGTAACTTATAATGTCATTTACTATGACAGACAGAGGACACTGGGTCAAGGGCAGAGCTGAAGGAGGGGGGGAAAGCGTTTGGTTCTAGACAGACTCAAGAAGCCTATGAAACATCTAAGAAGAGATCAATGTATGCCACTGAATGTATGACTCTAGACCTCAGGGAAGACCGAGGCTAGAGACAAACTGGGGAGGAGATTACCCACAACGAAGCAAGAGGAGAAAGAGAGGACTGAACCCTGAAGTGAGGAGACAAAGGAAAGAGAAAGGCTTCAGTCAGTAAAATAGGAGAATGAGGCGCCCCAGACTCTGAAGAAAGGTATTCAAGAGGCAGAGCCGTCTGATGGCATCAGATGCTCGTTAGAGGTTGTCTCTGGAGCCCCTAGAATGCTTTCATTTCCCTCCTCATACCTGCTCTTCTCACTCCCAATTCCAAGGGTCTCTGTGTCCCCAGGGACTTCACTGACTCTTGTCTCCTTCCTCCGCATTCCAAAAGTGTCGCAGCTCCTGACAGTAATTTGGAAGGGACAGGAAAGAAGCTAGAAGAATGATTAAGTCACCACAGCTTCTTTTCCTTTCACGCTTGCGCTGTGGTATCTGCTAAGAGTAGAAGGGACCAGAGAGAGGTAGAGTGAGACCTGCCACTTTACAGAACAGGAGAATCACCTAATTAAGGACAAGTCAAAGGACAACAGAGCAATTTTGAAGAACCAGCTGTAGTTGGAAAGCACACACCTGTGGAGAAAACTGCCTCAAATCTACTCCAGCTGCCTTACTAACAAACCACAGAGGCCGGAAAGCTAAACACCCCATTTCCCAGCTCTCTCCCTGCTGGGGTTCTGGGGTGGACTTCAGTTTGGCCAATCAGATCACGACAAATGTGAAGCATACAAAACATGAATTTGTATGATCCAACTGAATTAAAACAAGTTGAATTAAGTGGAAGAGAAAACCAGAGTGTGCCACAGCCATCACACGCTTGTGGATGGCAACCGAGGCAGCACGGTTCTGGGGCCAGGAGTGGGCAGCAGCATCCACCTCACCGTCAGCTTTCTGATCAGGTAGGAACATAAGGTCCCATGGGAGCCCAGACCTGCAGGGTGCATTTGGGAGTTGCTCCTGGCAGGTCAGGCATTTTAAAGCCCCCTCAACAATTTAGAAAGACATTTAATTCCCAGAAATAAATCCCTTTCTGTTTAAAGTAATAAGAGTTAGATTCTGTTCTCTTCAACTAAACCCTGACCAACAAACAATCTTCAAAGTTGTTCTAATTCACCCCCGAAGAGTTGAGCAATGTGGCCACAAGAGCAGATAAAGTGAGGCATTTATGTTGGGCTAGGGGTATGCATGACAGGAAAGATTAAAAATATAAATCCCAGATATTCTACAAGTAGTCTCTGAGCATCATGGTTTTGCCAGTAACTGGCCCCATCGGCTCCATGCATTCTGGCCTCCGTTAGGGATCAGGCACCCCAAGGACAAAAGAACCACAGCTCCCAGTTTCTTCAGCAAGAGATCTGAACTCATTCACAGCATACCTGTGAGAAAACGCCAAAGTCAAACACAGGGCCTTAAGTAGCAGCCTCTTCCTTTCTTGGCAATATCCCTTTAACGTTATAACATACTGACAAGGAGAAATATAAGAGCCCTTTCTCAACAAAGAAACCCAGTCCCCAGGCTCCATTTAGCCTTCAATTCTAATCAGTGGTAATGTCAAAGTGATAAGCTGATTAGCTGTTTAACTAATACTTAGGCACCTTCAATGATATAATGAGAATAACAAAAATCTTGGCAAATTTACCAAAAACACTGCTTATATCTTTTTTGGGGGTGAGGGGAGAAAGTTATTTGGAAATACAAACACCTTATTGGCTAAACATCAGAACCCTTCAAAGTATTACTGTCCCCTACAGCATATTATGACATTTCTAGAAACTGTTCCAGCTTTTACTAACTTTAATTATGAAGTGCAAAATCTTTTTAAGGCTTATAAATATATTATTTCTCAAATAAATGGTAGGCCATTCACATTTATTATAAATGGCAATTAAATTTGTTTTTCCAAACAGATAACAGATTCCATTATCATCCCTTTATAATTACCCTGACTTCACTTTAAAAGTTATTACTTATTAGAAATGTGAAGGAGGGCAATTTTTAAGTTCTTAAATCCTACTGAACTATATCCCTTTTCACCCACAAAATAAGAATTTATATCTACATAAGATATAATGCCAGAATAATAGGAAGAATGCAAGAACAATTTGCAGCACTGACATTAAAGGATGGAATCCTGCTAGGATTAATTTGTACAACTTTAGTCATAGTTATCAGTAAGCCATGCCCCGTACATTAATTATCTAGAAAAAAAACGGGGTTTAAAGCTACAATAAAGAAAAGTAATTTTTAACTTTCTATGGATGACCAAAAATAAGTCAGTTTCAATCTCAAAAAAACCTCAGTTACCAATTAGTGTTATTCAAAAATGTTAGTTATTCAGCTACCAATTAGTGTTATTCAAAAATGTTAGTTATTAACTTTAAAGATAATAGGAGTTTGTATCAAGTGTTTTTTAATCTGCAATAAAACATCAGCTTTAAAGAGGCTTAATGCTAATCAAAATAAGGCACCATAAAGCTATCTTCTGAAATTGAGAATAGATACTTTAGTACCTATAAAGTAACAACAAATGTTTTACCATAAGTATGCAAAACTGTATCGCAAGGTCACATATAGAACCTAGATTAAAATACCTAAAGCAACTTAGTTGCTGCTGCCTCAAAACAGGCGGCACCTAAGACCTTCAAGGAATAAGTGTTTAAGATAAACAAGCCACGTGTACCCAATCTGATGAACCCAGTATCAAAAGGAAAGGTGTTTCATCAAGCAAATTCATTTAAAAATGTATGTTCAGATACGATACCAAAAGCACAAGCAACAAAAGGGAAAAAAAGATAAACTGGATGTCAAAATTAAAAACTTCTGTGCTTCAAAGAACACCACCAAGAAAGTGAAAAGAAACGCAAAGAATGAGAGAAAATATCCGGAAATCATATACTAGATAAAATACACTACAACTCAAAATTAATTTTAAAATGTGCAAGGAATCTGAATACATTTCTCCAAAAATATATAAACAGAAAATAAGCACAGGAGAAAATGCTCAACCTTACTAGCAATCAAGGAAACACAAGTCAAAACCACAATGAGATACCACTTCCCACCTACTAGGATGGCTACAATTATACTTTTTAAAGTGCAAAATAACAAGCGTTAGCAAAGGTATGGAGAAATTAGTACCCTCCTACACTGTCGGTGGGAATATAAAATGGTGCAGCCACTTTGGGAGCAGTGTGCCAGTCCCTCAAACACTGACAATCATGACCCAGCAACTCCACTTCTATGTGTGTACCCAAGAGAAATGAAAACCTGTCCACAGAAAAAACTGAACATGGCAGCATTATTCATAACCACCAAAAAGTAAAAACAGTGCTTGCTTTGGCTGCATGTGTACTAAAATTGCAACAACACAGAGATTAGCATGGACCCTGCACAAGGATGAAACGCAAATTCATGAAGCGTTCCATATTTTTCGTTGCTCGGGGCTGTGGGGTCACCTTTTCCTGCCTCCTGCCACCCCAAGTCATCTGAGTTGTGTGTTATGCAGGGGGAGAGCACGCTGGCCCGGATCTCAAGCTACCCACGTTCTAGTCCTACCTGTCATTTCCTAGAGCTGTGGCCTGGGATCCTTCCCTGGTGCCACAGCAGCTGAGTGTGCACCCAACCTGAAGAAAATCTGCACACTCCAAACAGTTCAGTCAGAACAGAACACAGCACACAGCTTCTGAACAAGCCTGATTTTACCCGTGGGAGAAAGAAGAGCTACCGTCCAGATGCAACTTGCCAGGGCGGGGGCTCTCTTGTTACCATAAGAACAAATTTCCACCCCGAAACTTCATTTCTGTATAGCATTCTAACCCCCCTCAGTTATCCCCTTCAAGATTTTGCCACACTATGTCCTATCCAGTATGTCCCATAAATTGAACAGCTTTTTACTTAAATTTACAAAGCTCAGTAACCTCATACTTCTTTTATAAATGGATATCCACCATCATTTATCCTAAACAAAGTCTTCATAAATATATACAATCTCTTTAAATGAAAAACAAAAAGTAAAAACAACCCAAACATCTGTTCATCAACTGACAAATGAATAAATAAAATGTGGCATATCCATACAATGGAATAATATGCAGCCATAAAAAGAAATGAAGTACTGATACATGCTACAAGGTACATGAACCTTGAACACATGATGCTAAACAAAAGAAGGCAAACAGAAAAGGATGGCATACTATATGACTGTTAAATGTCTGGAACAGGCAAATCTATAGAGACAAAAAGTGGATTAGTGGCTAATCTAATTAAGTGCTAATTAGAGACTGGGGTTAAGTTAGTTACCCTAAGACTCTCTAACTCTAAGACTCTAAGGATAGAGGGATTACAGCTAAGTTGTTTGAGGTTTAAGGTGATAAAAGTTCTAAAATTGACTGTGTTGTCTGGTTGCACAACTTTGAATATACTAAAAGCTACTGAATTTTACACTTTAAGTGAATGAATTGTTTGGTATGTGAATTACATCTCAATAGAGCTGTTTAATTTGAAAAGCATATAAACAAGGAGATCAAAATGAAAAAAGGAGAAACAATCTTTTTCACCCCAGTGTTATAAGAGTACGTCACGAAGGTGGCCCAAAGGCACAGCAACTGAAAACATACATGAGTACAAACAACTGTCTGCAAAATGAAAACTGACATGTCTCGTAACAAACAAATTTTTTCAAACTGGCATTAACAAAATGTGAATTAATTTAAATGAAAAAACTTAATGTTCATTGTATTTCAAAACATACCTAAATAATGGCTGCAACAAGGGAAAGGATAAATAGCATTTATGAACACAGTAAGATACATTTGTGAGAACTTTTGTTTGGGTAATTCAACACTATCAGTGTGTTTAAATGTACATATCCAGCATTTCCATTGTAGGAATTACACCTTTTGGGTTTTCTTGCAAAAAAAAGATGTCGAACTATATATATAAAGATGATCACTGTATCACCATTTCTAATAACAAAAAAGAAAACAACTTACAGGTCCGTCAAGGACTGGTCGTGAAAGTTGTGGTATACGTGGAATACCACGCAGTGACTGACAGAACTATGAGTGCACTTACAGAAAGATCTCTAAGACACATATGAAAAAGGAATGGTCGATATAGAGGATATATAACTCTACCTGTATGATCTTTTAAAAATACACATATATACTAACATTAACAAAGATCTGGGATGGAGAAAATACAAAAAAAAACAGTTACCTGTGAGTAGAATGACTAGGGAAAGGAGACATTTTTTACATAATGAGTTTTTCTGCTGTATGATTTTTTTTTAACCAAATGAGTTGTTGTTCTTTATAAATAAATATATTTTTTAACCACAGTGCCTTTCTGTGTGAAGTTCGGGGTATGGCTTACAATACAAGCAATCTATATCACTTAAACTAAGATGTTAGCATGATCTAAAATGAAATCATCATAATTTGCAAGTAACTTCAATATATACGCCTAAAAGCAAATTCAAAGAGCTCATAAGCGTAGACCTTAAGTAGGCTTGATTCTGCTTTATGATACATTACTTCATTTCAAATAATTCAAAATAACACTATAATGCACTAATCAGATGGGATGAAGTGAAAACATTTTGAAATATCTGTCACTTGCCTCTAGAAGACCTCTCTTTGTTTAACAGCTATAATATTTCAACTATACATTTCAACATTATTCTCCCTGTTTTCAGAAGGAACACTGAACATATACAGAATAATACCATACTAATAATCTGTTATTTTTAGGCTATCCTATTCTGAGTATGTTCTACACCTTAATCTCATTTCCAAAGCCTCCAAAGGGGATAAATGCGGAAAATTATTATCATCCTCTTTTTATATATGCATAGTGATCAGGTACCAAAAATGCATAGTAGATCACTCAATATATGAAACAATTATATCATAGGTTCAAAGACCCTTTGGGCCAGAAGTGTTTCAGAATTCAGAATTCTGTGTGTTTTAGAACAGTAATAACACAGCACTATGTAACACCCCCTGGGGTATGGGAAAGCACAATATAATCTAACATGTTACTATTTCTGCCAAGAAACGTATGAATATTCACACCAAGAAGGATAAATAAAGACATATACATTCAGGTCAAGTTTTGCCTCCAATGAGTTATAAAAAAATATTTCAGAACTTTTATTTTGAAACTATACATAGGGAATTCTGGACCTATCCTAGGCAACCTTCTAGCCAGAAAGTTATTCTTTTCTACAGTGTTTTCTTGTATGGCAAAATCACTTTAAATTTCAGAGTTAAATTCTTTTTTGGAGATACGGGTATGTAGAATAAAACCTGACAAAGATCATCTCAGGTTTTCCTTGAAATCCAAAAGCATCATTCGTGCCAATAACTAATCACTTGCTTTCATCAGCTATATATAAACAAAATCAGTAAAAGCTAAGTACGAGAGCCACAGGAAAGGATTTATTGCTACTTAATTAGTAGCTTCTTCCTTGCTATCTCCCTGAAACCCTCCCACATGACACAACTTTAGATAGTTGCACCCATTCACCACCCTCTTTCCTCAGTTTTGTCTTAACCAAACTAAAGATCCCCACCAACCTCCTCTGTATGACTACGCCCTAATTTCCCCACACTGACCACTCTCTTGTGGATGTGCCCATTTGTCAGTATCCTTCTGAACATGTCACACCCAGGACTAAATGCTGATGTTATCTGACCAGCACAAAGTCTAGTTACTTTCCTGGAACTGAATATTATCCTTACATCCAACATCTTAAGATTATTAAACCTAAGTTCTAAATTACACTAATGCAACTGGTATAAAACTAGAGAAAGAAAACCAACTAATTCACTGCTAAATTAAAATGTATAACCACTTTGTACCCAACATGTATATAAAAGAATACGCATTCTCAGTAACAGGTTAAAATAAAAATGGAGTGTTAAGCAATAATTTACTACACATTAAATGATAATGTCTGGTACTTGCTTCACAATGAATGGGCGGAAGGGAACAGGTGGGATGTAGAAGAAACAAGATTAACAATGAGCTAAAATTACTGAGGTGAAAACCTGGGTGATAGGTACATATTCCAATACTGCACATGTTTACATTTTTTTGTGATAAAAAGTTACAGCAATAAAAAAATAAATGAAAGATAAAATAGGAACAAAGAAGCTATCAGTTTGCGTATTTCTGACTTGCAACAATTTTAAAAGACCGACAAAGCAGCAGCTGGTGAGAAGTTGTGGAAATGAGGACTTAGTCAAAGTATAAATTAACACTACCTTTCTCAAGGACAGCCTGGCGATACGGAACAAAATGGACATACTCTGGGATGCAGCAATCCTCCTCCAAGGTATCTACCCTAACTAAGGTGATTATCAGACAAGCAGGAAAAGATACATAACTAACCATATTCATCACGTCATGATTTAAGGAGGAGAAGAACTTGAACAACTTCAATGCCTATTAATCCGAGAGTTAAGGAAAATCTGGCTCACAGTGGAAAAGTATGCATCTATCCATTAAAAATAACGGTGCCTGTCTATAGTTATAGATTTGAAAAGCAACAGATTGTTGAGTGTAAGATTAAAGAATAGCATACAATTTGATCCCACTTCTATGGGGATGTGTGTACTTATACATATGTTAACAATGGTTAATCTGTGGGGAGGAAGACTTCTGTTGATGTTTACTTTCTTTTCTTTCCCAGTTTAATTTTTACTATCTTTATAGTTTTCTACACTCAACCTTTTTTTTTTTAAAGAACAAGTAGCATTTTTACAAATCCTAAGCCATAGGCGGAGGTTTGGGGGCGGTGGCGGCTAACCATCTTATTGGTGTTACATTAAGAGATATTTAACAAGTCATATACAAATGCCTAAGTATGTAATTGTCTTTTTCTTTGGTGGGCTCTTTCTCCCAAAGAGAATGCATATGGATACAACCAAGGGTGACGGTCTTTTTCAGGTCTCTCAGAGGGAAAATGTTTGACTCAGGCAATCTAGTCATGATTTCTAAAAGCCTGCAACTTTTACTATAACCACCATCTATAAGCTCTTCCTGCTCACAAAAAATTAGTTGAATGAAATGTCAGAATTTCAAGGGGTCTGAGGATTATGCAGTTTTTTTTTAATGTGTAAGACATTATTCAGCAATGGTTCTAGTGCTTTCAAAGATATATAAAACTACTATTCAGCAATACTAATAATTTTACACAAAAAGCTGGTTTATTTTGTTGATTTGCACTTTAATACCTTAAGACAGTTCTATGATGGAAATAGTTACTGTTATATTCTACCTTCAATAATTAAAATCATTATGATCCCTGGAAACCAGGATTACATAAAACGAGCTTTTTCACATGATTTTAATAAAAAGAATTGTAAGTGTAATGTCTAAATTCTCAAATTAAAATGTATCCAAATTTTTCTCCTTTTAAAGTTAG